AAGTATAAATAGCTAATTATAAATAGCTATAAACAATATTATGCGGACGAATATTGATTATGTATTTTTGTGTATACACAGAGAAAAATATATTTTTAGGATTTTTTTAGGAAATATTTTTTTACTAAATTTCCTTTAATTCTCAAATAAGTTTATTTGAATTCCTTTATTCCAACCAATTTATTGTTCGAATTTACAAACACAATTGTTTAACTTTTCAAAAATACATATTATTCAAATTCAAATAATACATATTGTTACATGAAAGAAAACATTTTATTGTTAATTTCATTATTAAATTCAAATAATTATAATTCTTAATTTCATTATTTAATTCAAATAATTATAATTTCCATTATTTCAATAAGATTATTGTATCATTTCATTTGACACACACACACACACACACACACACACACACACACACACACACACACACACACACGATGCATGATTCCAATAATATATGTATGTTAATAAAAATCCTAAATATCAAGTCGTCTAAAAGATGGTTATAAAACATCTAAATTTCTATAAAAATATTTATAAAACATTTATCTTTATTTTTTTCATGTGGGTATTATATGTATGTATCTACATTATGCGTATAAATGGTATTTAATGAGGCATTTGACCTCTTCGCAAGAATGAATCAAGAATACGGGCGATTATATGCAGTCTTTTTTCTTAACGAATTTCTCGGAAAACGCAAAACCGGAAGTTATCGTTCAAAAGATAATACATATATACACTATAGAGACATCGTATCCGTTATCGAATTGAAGAAAACTTTACTTTTCGCTCGTATGTGACGGGAGGAAGCTTTAAAGCGAGAGCTGGATGTATTTAAACAACAGAATCCTGCTTCCACACAAGGAAGGTTTAAAGTAGTGTGGGGATTCGCAGTGCATATAGAGACTGACTGTTCTCGTTTCGAGCACAATGAGCTTCTTGTTTTCCATTTTTCGCTTCGCAACGAAGAGCTCTTCGTGACGGCGCATATACACTATATGTAATCGCTGGAAAAAGGGCAGATAAGTAAAAAACCGTTATTAATCTGCATCTTCTCTTTCAATCCATGATAGAACTTCCAGAGTCTTTTAGAAAAAAAAAAAATGAAACTTATCTTGCTGATCTTAGATCTAATCAGCGTTATTAAAAATATTGTTGCTGTCACAACGCGAAGTATAATAAAAGATCGTTGAAATATATTAAATATATTAAATAATGAAATATATATAATATTTTTATCCACTTCTATCAACGTAGATTAATTTTAATTTACCTTTATTATTTCCTTTAATACTAAGAATTAGAAGATAAAGAGTAAAATAAGTCGAGATTAAAACTAATCATTGATAGGAATGAACATCAAACAATTTATATTTTTGAAACTTAACACATTGCGAGAAAATTCTGTCATTTTGCGAATCTAGTATTTATTTATATTTTATATTTATTATATATTTAGTATTTTATATTTATTTTGTTTTAACAAGATAAAATGTTATTTGTGTCAAAATAGAAATTATATTTAAATTAAATTTTTTCCTGAAATAGGAGAAGTTTTGAGATCAAGTCCTACTGCTTCTCGTGAAGTGTTAGAAAGTGCCGCCAGTAAACTTAACCTTCCTCGATTATCATGTCATTCACTTTGTGATTCATATCATCCCGCCCACTAGATACGAAGGCATTAATCTGTATGTACGGTCCCACTATGCCGGCCATTAAGTATGACGGCACTCGCGTAATTGCTCTTAATTCAACCGCAAGTGATCGTCCAGACATTTAAGAATGCCATTCATGCCCGCGTTCTTCAGACTTTCGACGTCGCTCGAGGGGAACACGTCGATTTCGTTGCGAAGCGAACGATGCATTTCGGTGTGTTATTAACGAACTCCAGAAAGGATTTTAATTAGATGTGCGAAAGTGCATCCTCATTTCTCTCAGCTTTCCTTTCTCTTCTTTATAGATTATAATAAATTCGTAATAAATTCGTCCGCAAACGAAACACAATTTCGTCGGTATCTTTAATATTCGCGATGATAATGATCGAGGATGAGGCTTGTTGACGATTGAAAACACCGATCGTCGTAATTACGTAATGGATGATACAAATTGCGGCTGTGTATCCGATGCTGTGAGGAAAGCATATAAAAATACGATATGTACACAACTGTTATATGCAATTTTTGTACTTGCTCGTGTCGTTTCGCGGAGTGCGTTTTTTAATTTCTGCAAGAGTGACGTAATCGCGGACGCGTCTGCGTTTTACGATGAAGCTACTCTCGGTTTGTCGTTTTCATCATTAGACACCCATATCGGTTTACCTGTGATTTTCCTTGAGCTTCTCGCGTCGGTACTGCGAATACACGCGACATTCCGCGTTACCTGTGACATTTGCTTTAAAAAAAAAAAAAAATGTCGATATCGCTCGCTCGTGCAGTTGCAAATGCAACTGTCCGATGTGTTATCGTTATTAATCAATAAATATGGTTTACGACTCGTAAATTAGACAATGCGTTTAATCAGGCGCCATCCAATGCTGTGCCGTTCCGTTTTAATGTTGAATCACGCTGATGACGTGAGTTTAGAGACACTTCAAGCGCATTACGTAATGATTGTTTATTGGTGTTAATTAATGTTTATACGCAAAAAATCCATTTTTGCACTGTACTTCTAGCCCCA